CCATTTATTTCCTTCACAAAAGGGCCTCTAGTGGCCTGAAAGTATCAGTGGCAAGCTGGGGTTCCCAGATAAAATGGATCTTTTGTTTGGTGCATCTTACAGTTTAACCAGTCTCGGTGTGAAACTGGACTTTCAGTGCTCCCTCACTCTTGAACTCGTGGCTGCTGCATTTTTGTCCTCTTGATACCTTCTGATTTTCATTATCAGTACTTGTAGATAACAAACATTTTTCCATAATAAGTAAATAATAAGCTCTAAGTAATAATCAGAGAGGAATAATACCTGTGTTTGGAATTAAAGAGTAAAATAAATAACCGTTTGGTCTATACTACAATCTCATGTTTGTTTTTTTATTTTTCCTGGAAGCATTTATTTGAGATTCATGAGCAAAGCTGATATCTTTGAATAAAACTTTGCCATGATCCTTCGTTCTCACAATCTGAACAGAAATGTGCTTATGTTGTGCAAATTGTATTCCTTTGATTGTATAAGTCTCCAAATATTTGTCAATAATATTTTTGCTTTTAGTCATGCGGTTAAAAATGCCACCTAATAGTATACCTTTTTCCTCTGAACTTTTCTATATATTAAATCCAGTTTTGTAAAAGTATTAATATGAATGATACATATGTGATTACCTAGAGTGAATAAGATTACAGTCAATCCAGGGAAAGCATTGTGTTTGTCTAGAGATTCCTTACCAGGAATAATGTAAAGAGGAAGTATGTGTGTTTACTTATGGTAATAACAATACAGCTGCCCAGCAATCAAGTTAACTTGACTGTCATCTTTATCAAGCAGTATGTTTACACAGGGGACAATCTGAGGAAGGAAAAATCTGTATTGTGTATGAACATGATGAAAATGTATTTCTAAACACATTGAGCCTCTAATGTCTGAAGTAACATGACTACTTAAAACATGATGTTTAGAAAGGTGTTGATTATACAGGACACATTTAAGACTCAGTCATTTCAACCTTTCTCCAAAATCACTTTTTCAACATTATTTATTCTAAATATAGAATACAATATTTATTTCATTGAAAAGAGATAAAAGATTTTGCTATTTATAAGTGCGTGTTTAGGTAAGTAGGTAGACATGTGAGTATATGTGTGTATAAATGAGTAGAGTGAGAATTACAGATTAAAAAAAATACTTTAACTATTTAAAATTAATTTGTCCATAAAAGAATAAGCCAGGTTTATTTTAACTAAATTAGCTAGATAGCTTTTTAAAAATTAAATATGGCCGGGCACGGTGGCTCACGCCTGTAATCCCAGCACTTTGGGAGGCCGAGGCGGGTGGATCACGAGGTCAAGAGATCGAGACCATCCTGAACAAAGCTTCAAGTGGTCGGGGATTAGGTTAAACGACCAAACCTAAAAATAGTCAGCATTTTTGAG